AACTGGCTAGTGCCACATTTTGAAATGTTGGAAATAGCTGGTTAAATAAAGTATATTATTTAAATTAATTTTACCTGATTCTTTTTATATCTTAATGTGGCTCCTAGGAAATTTTAAATTACATATGTGCTCAAAATATATTTCTATTGACAGCGGTACACTAGAATCTATTTAGTAACTTGAGAAAAACATGACTAAGGGGATTCCAAAAGAAAAAAATGAAACTATACAAAATATAAATGGACTTCACTTTAAGCAAGCACAGAATTATTCCAGTTGTGCCAAAAATACAATAGCATACTTTCACACCTTATTCAAATCACGGCTGACTTTAACTTGAATTTAGGAGCAAGATCATAATTCTCATCCATTTTTCAGACTAAATAATCAAAGGAACATGACCCAAACCAAAAACAATGTTTTTGGTGACATCTTTTCTATCATCTTTTCTAACATTTCATGAATGCTTACAGTGGGTCAGGGCCTGCATTAGGCAACAGTAAGAAAAGGAATGTAGACAAATAACAAAAACAGGCCTCACTTGCCAACTCCCCTCCAGTGAAGCGCCCCTCTCCATGGCACACAGGACACACCTACACTTTGAGCCACCACTCAGCAAGGCGTGTATTCAATGCGGTAACATTTTCTCAAGGATCTGGCCTATAAATAGTATCAGAAGAAAGCACTGAACATGCAGTATTAAGTCTAAATTAACTCTAATGTACTTTGTCTATATGTTTCATGTATTTTTCCTATAATAAATATCTCAATTTCGTGGGAACTTTGCTCTTGGGGAGATCCAAGGTTGCGGACGCTTACTTTCAAAGCTGGAACTGTGAAGAAAATGTTCTGCACAAAACAACCAGTGTACTGCAGAGCGCAGGGGTCTGCAGCTGCACCAGCTGCGCCTGACCTGACTGCCATCTACAAAGCAGCTGCATGCAGAGCGTCGCCGAGCTGTCTGCTGCAGCTACCAAAGGGCCTGGGGCAGCATTTGGGAGATGTCTGAAGATACAGGCAGATGTTGCGAAGACCAAGTGACCACACTGAGCAAGGCCAAGAACCAAGGAACAAGGTAAGTATATTAAAATAATGGTAGAACAAGAGATTTTCAAAATGAGAAAGTAGTTCTTGGTGGGGAACATTGGGGTGTCTGAAGATTTTTAGTGTCTTCTTAATTCTCCCTCTCAATCTAGCTCCAATTTCATCTCCCTCTCTCTCTCATATATATAGATATATAAACTGTATACTGAATGATTATAAAGTCAGTGTTTATTAACATACAGTTCATTTTAAAATTTTAAAGCATCTACAGAAACGAATTATTTTTTTTGTCAATGCCCGTTTTCAAACTGATGACTCTTCCGGTCCAGGCACTGCTGATAACTCGAAGCAATGGAATCGCAAACATTAAGAATCCTTTTGTTCAGTATTTGCATGCCCTCGATTTATCAACTGTTGCCTGTTTTGTACCATAAACTTTATCTTTTATGCATCTCCATTAAAAAGTCTAGTGGATAAACTTTCTTTGTTTAAAGCTTAGTCTGGCTTCACCTGTTATTTCAAATCAGTTACACCTGAAAAGGAGAGAAACGGGACTGGACTGCTCAGGAGTGCACAGGCCTCTAATTAGGCTTCTTTTGCATATCATCTCGGCAAACGGGACCCCTCTTGATATATTTGCTCCAGAACCAGTTTACCTTAGTTTCACAGATTCTTCTTCTCTGTATCCAGAATTCTTTTCCTTTTTTCTAGTTTTTTGGATGGATATCTTTTTAAGTAGGCAGAAAAAGAGGGGTGAGAAATTCATCTCTTTGTAACAGCTAAGAAGCATGATCCAGTTTACTATCCTTTCATTATTTAAGAAAGGGTATCTGAACTGTTATTATTTTTCTGTTTTAAAGGAACAGAGGAAAAAGAAAACTTAGATGTGTGTGAAACAAAAAATTGTTCATTTGAATGATGAATTAATTACCGGTTCTAATTAGCTTTATTTTATAAAGCGAGAATGACTTACATCATTTTATTTTTGGAGGGGGTAACTTACTCTTAATTTTAAAAAAATAAACAGAATGTTGTGCCCCTGTATTGTGATGCTCCTCTGGAGTACCTGTTCCCCCAGGGTGGAAGCTGTATCATTGTATCTTAGTATACTCTATAATGCTCTGCTTATAGTAAAAAGTTAATAAATGATTATTGAATGAATGGATGAAGCAATGTATCAAAAGAACAGGTTTGAATAAAATAGTAAAACAAAAAAATGCATTTTGATAGGTGGTTTGCAAAGTGTGATAAGTGGCTTCCTAAATAAGAGTCGCACATTCCCAGGGAGGAAACATCCACATTTACATTAAAGGATCAGATGTTTCATATCTGATAATGTAGTTATAAATCAAATGACTTGAAAAAAAATTTATAAAAACAATATATCTCCCCGTATTTGTTTTATCTTCTTCATTAATTTCTTTATATACCCCCTGCTTTGTTTCACAAAAATTTAGTACAAGAAATTATAAATGCAGACGTAAGGCTTATGCAGGGAAATGTATGCCTCACAGGCTGCCTGGCGGCATGGTTCACATTTAGGAGGTCATGCCATGGGACTCACTGAATGCAAGGAGCTCTTTTATCACCAACTTATAGTCCATTTGCAAGCCATTTCCTACCTGTAGCATTACTTTCCTAACCAGCTATTTATAAAACTTGCTGTTAGTTATTCTGACATGACAGAGCATGATTGGAAGAGCAGAAAACAAGCACACACAGAGGTGTTTACATTACTAGGATGGTAATGAAAGACCCCTGGATGCTGCCTTCTCAGAAATTTGTATTTGGGTGTCCCCTTTTGATTTCCCACTGTACTAACCAAGCCCGTTTTGAAAGGGATATGTGGAAAAGGAATGCCTATCTATTACTGTTACTTGTAAATTGGTACAAGCACACTGGAGATGTATTCAATAACATCTGGTAAAGATGAAGGTCTTCATACCCCATAAGCCAGCATTTCCTTTCCAGATACATACCTTCAAAGGACAGCTACACATGTGCATAAGAGCCATTGCCTCACAAATGGAAACAATCCAAATATCCATTAAAGGGGCAATGACCAAAAATTGTAGTTATTATATCCATAAAATGTAATAACATGCAGTGGCTGAAAACAATTGTCATTTTATGCATTACCATGAATTTTTAAAAGTGTAATTTCAAGTGAATAAATTGGATTTTAGAATTTTACCAAAATAATATTTATATAAATAAGAAAAATAAATAAGTCTCTCGCATTTCTCTATATATTTGATTATATAAAGACACATACATTTTTATATGTATGTATATGTATACATACAGTTCAGGAACACATAATTTTATAGTAAAAGCAAAGGCAGACTAACCATAAAACTATTTAAATATTCTTAAGACTAGTTCATCCCAGCCTTTGGTCCCGAGTCCTGCCCGGGCCTGTAGGCTAGCGTCTACTCCATTCCCATCCCTGCCCCAGGGGGTGCCACCTGGAACACATTGCTGTCCTTGTTTTGTTTTATAACAGGAATCACTCTATAGATTTAAATGAACTGACAGTCTCTTCCTTTGTACTAAGGCTGTTTTGGGGAGCCTTTTCCATCATAAAATTTAAGTCAAATATCTAACTGTTAACTAAGTAACAGGGAGTTGGGATGACAATGTAACACTGAATGAACAGACCTTCAGAAACAGCGATGGCAAGCCCTGCAAAGGGGCCACAGGCAGGAGACGACTGTGGTGAGATCATGATGCAGTTTCTTCTATTTCCTCCTACCTAAAACAGAGGACAGTGAGGATGCAGGGGCCCCTCCTTCGGGGGGGACAGGGACTGGCAAAGCAGACAGCCCTGAGGGAGGAGGGCCAGCAGCAGGGCGAGGCTCAGCAGAGAGGGCGCGGGCGCGGCCTGCGCCGTGTGTGCCACGCTCCCCTGTAAGTGTCCTTTCCCGCAGGGCAGTCCCGCTGTGCTCCCTAGAGCCTGGGGCTCTGTCTCCTAGACATGCCCACCTGGCATTGCTGGGTTTCCTGGGATCAAGCGAGCGGACCAGCAACCTGCAACCTGACGGCCGAGTGACACTGCCACTCCACTGCCACTGCCACTCCACTGCCACTCCACTGACACTGCCACTCCACTGCCACTCCACTGCCACTGCCACTCCACTGCCACTCCACTGCCACTGCCACTCCACTGCTTGAAAAGCCCAGGGCTTCATGCGCGGAGCTGAGGCTGCTGTGACCGTTCTGAGCGGTAAATGGTGGTCCTGGTTCTTCCGCCCAGGCAGGAGGTGTTGGGACAGCAGGACCGAGAGCCGTGCAGGCCAAGGGCAGCAGCCGGGAGAGGGGGTGAGGCCAGCTCCTGGAGAAACGTCACGGGGAGGAGCTCAGGCTAACAGGATGCGGGGACACCCCAGAGGTCCATTCGGGAACGTTTGCGGCCCTCTCCTTGGGAAAGGCTGGCAAACGGGAGTGGAGGGCAGGGGAGATGAAACCTCAGGTGGGTGTCTGCTGAGCCTTTGGCAGGACCGAGGGAGAAAGCATGAAAGAGAAACGGACAGAGTCTAATCTTTACCCAGGTAGATGGCCTGGAAAGTCTCCATTGCAGGTTAAATAATCAGATTCCATCCATCAGTTACAAGGCCAATACAAATACATAGGTGGTTGGTTTTGTACAGGTCAAAATATACATTTAATTCACTTAGATTTTCATTTTTTAACTTCAAAATTGGTGCTATCTATAGAAAGTCAAATTTAACTGGTCCATTACAGCCATAATTTAAAATACCAGGTTTGATAGTGTTGACATCAGTTTAGTTTCTTTAGAATAAAGAGTTTCCAAATGCCCATGACAGACATTAAGAAAGTTAGCAAAAATATAATTTAACTTAAAAATACTGATCATGTTTATACACCTTTCCTGCAACTCATATGGCAGCTCTTTTTAATCCCATACATTTCAAAACAACAATAATAAAAAGAAATCTCTCTTTGCCAAATAAGAAGAACCTAAACTTTTGGCTATCTGCAACCTGTGAGGCTCACTTTATAATTTTTCATCATTCTTTATGCCTTTTCAGACTGCTCAACTATTTTTAGAAGTAGACAGTGTTCCCGATAATGCAGTATATCCTGCAAGTTCAACCTTTGCAAATTGTGCCATCCAGGGCAACTGACGTGTGAGCAAATTTCCATGGTCACCTGGTCAGCTCCTTTAGAAATGTGAGCTGGCTAGTCAAGGTTTCAGTGCTTTTTCCCCCTCTGTATGCAATGCAGGTAAGTATCACCTGCATGTTTCAATGAACTGCAAGGTTATTGAAGGTTTGTATTTTCAAATGCTTCTGATTCATCAAATCCAATTAAAAATGAAAATAAAGATTTATTTATGTACATAAATAGGAGGGAATAGATGCTCTTTTTGTTTTGCGGGGAGACAATAGGTATAAATCTCGAGAGAAAAATAAGAAAGTTGGTGTGCAAATATTTTCAAAATATAAAAGCGTGTACTTAGAACTGTCAGGAACTTATACATGATAGACCATTTTATCATAGACTCTGGCATTGGAGATTTCTAGAAACCAGAGAAATAGAATATGTCTAATGTATAGTGAATGCAAAAGTATATATTCCAAGGAATACAAAACTAAGTGGAAACAAGATTTTCAAAATGAGTGTTATATATTTTCCTTCTGGCTTTTTAAATTTTTAAATTGTTCCTTCAGCCACCAAGTGATTTGATAGTTTCTGAGTAGCGTTTACCTTTGGTGGTAGCTTCATCTTCCCTGTTGTTCAAAGTGGTAGAACACAGGTGGTGCTCCCTTCCTCTGTTATTTGTAAGCTGGCATGGAGCAGAAGGACACCTTCTGAAGTTTTATTTGTGCTGTGTTTTCTCTCGCTGCAACAAGAGAAGCCTTTCTTTTAACCTGAATGCTTTGAAGAAGTGACTCACAAATCTTCATGGCCTCTAAAGGTAAGAGTAATATAGCCGGCTAAAGAACGTTTCTTTATATTATGACTAAAAATCTAGAGGTTGATACTTTTAAACCTGCCATTTGTCTCTTTTAAACATTAGAATTTTTAAATTTTAACTCTGAGGAGCATGTTGCATTAAATTAAAAAAAATAACAACACTATCTGATAGAATGTGAAAGTTAAGCTGTACAGTGTCTTGGTTATCATATAGACAGTGAATTAATAAGAAAATCTTCATAGCAAAATCTGGAATGGAAATATTTAATGTCAAACACAAGGGCAGGTTGATCTTCCAAGTTTAAAAGGATTTGAAGAAAACTTTTCACACATAAGTTAAAAAGTGTTACAGTTCAGTATTTTTAAATTTCCCATTTGTTATTTAAAATATGTGATGCAGTCATTTATTATAATGAATTCAACATGTGTTATTGGTAAATCTTAAAAATTTAATGAACTATGAAGCAAAAAACTTGCAAAATTTCTTTGATAGTAAATTATATATATAATATGCAAATATATATATACATATATATGTGCAAACAAAAAATAACTAATTTAAGCAAGCAGATTAATTAGCTACTGGAGGAGGGAGATAGTAAGTTTTTTCCTCAAATCCCTGAAATTGTATAAATATCATTAATGTTGTCTAACTTTCCTTACTTTAAAGAACTTCTCAAAAAGATAAGAGATGTGGTTGTTTTTTAAGGTAGTGGATTGCAACGTTACTAAAAACACTTGTGAAATTACATAAAAATGAAATTGCAATGCATTTTTCATTCCATTATCAAAACAAGCCATTAAACTCTAAGATATATTGAAAAGTTTTCATCATGAAAAATTATGATTAGTAATTAGTNGAAATTGCAATGCATTTTTCATTCCATTATCAAAACAAGCCATTAAACTCTAAGATATATTGAAAAGTTTTCATCATGAACAATTATGATTAGTAATTAGTGGAAACCTAACCTAGTTACAAACAGGATAACAGAGTCCACCAATCTAAAATATCCTAAATTAAATTAATGATCCATTTAAAGAAACATGTATGCTTCTTTGTTTCTTTTATCAAAATACACTTTGGATACTATTTAATATGGAACAGGAAAGGTAACTTTTTAGTTTCCATCAACATTTAATGTACACCAGTCCCTGAGTACCACTGGACAAGCTCAAACAAATTGTAAAATATAAACATGAGACATCAAAATCATTCATTTTCATATGTTTGCTTCATTTTTATACTGAAGACAAACAAAAAAATCTTGATGAGTCTTTTCTTTCATTTAATACTAACACTAACACTCAGGTCAAAACACTTCATCACTTTATAAAACAGGAGTTACAGAACAACCATAGCCTGGAAGGTAAAGAGTTGCGGAGTACTTGAAATATTTATGAGCTAGTTATACATTTTTAAAACAGTAGATAGAAATTCAAAGCCAGGTGGAAATTCAAAGGACTTTCTGCTTTATCTGGTGGTCTGAGTCTTTGAAGAAACTTTTGACTAGAAAGCAACACTATGATCAAAATATGATTAACTGACCAAGAAAGCAGGGAAGTCCATTAATGATAAGTGTCCAACACTAACTTAGAGGTAAAACTTTGGATGGAAAACCAACCTCCCGAAACTTACTAAAAATAACACACGAAGTGGACGAAACCTCAGCTAGAGACCGTGTACTGCTTAAAGGGAGCAAGAATGAAGGGTCCTTTTGAATTAGAAATCACATTTGAGGTAGCAAGTTGGATTATCATCATTATTTACTTAAACATTTTTGTGGACAGTTTTCTTCAGATATGTTTAAAGACATTATTTGTAACGTCATGAATGTTCTCTGGCCCAAGACACTCTATTGGCAGTGACCATTTTCCCAGGGGTACGGGCTCATTGGACGTTTCAAACATTTTATAGGCGGTTCAGTTGACACCACTAAACTGAAGGACAGTCTGAATACTAGATATCATCAGATCCGAAGAATTATTTGTGTGGTTTGCAGTCCCCTCTTAGTGTAAATAAACACAATTTAAAAACAGGCTGGTATCAAACTAAGTTTTAAGTCTGAGAAAAACAGGTTTCCCAAGGTGATCAAAACTGAACAAGGGCGCTCTCTAAGGGCTGCTCCAACGTGAAGTGAAATCCCAGAGAGGAAGCAAGTGACCTCAGAACAGGGATCCCAACAGTCGACCTACTGAGGCTAGATCATGAATGAAGACGTTGGCCGTGGTCTGCTCTGGGCCCCAAGTGTATTAATTCCTCCGGGCCTGCTGTGAGGTCTGAGAACCTACATAGACCTGGGTCGGGAATGTAGAGCCCCTTGCAAGACACTCAGTGACCTCCAGCATTTTGTTTCAGCAGACATAGGTTACAAGATAAAATCAGAGTAATTTACTAATCTTCTTTACAGTAATTGTCAATGAGGGAGGATCTGATAATCTTCTACCAGCTATTTTTAGAAATGGATTCCTACCGTGTTTTTCTAATTGAAGGATAAGGTGTCCTTCAGTAATGTGTATAATGAGCCCGGCCGGGCGTGGCTCAGCGGTTGAGCGTCCACCTAGGATCCCAGCGATCGGGGTTCGATTCCCGGTCAGGGCACAGGCCCGGGTTGCGGGCTCGATCCCCAGTCGGGGGCAGGCAGGAGGCAGCCGATCAGTAACTCTCTCATCGTTGATGTTTCCTTCTCTCTCTCTCCCTCTCCTTTGCTCTCTCTGAAATCAATAAAGATATTAAAAAAAAAAAAGTTATAATGAGCACCCAACTTAAGCTCTACGGTTTTTAAATAAGATATACTTGTGTAACTACCACCAAGATTGAGATACAGAACATTTCTGGCACCTCATGAAGTTCCCTTTCCAGGCAATACCTCCACTCCCAAAAAGAAGCACTATTCTGGATTTTATCATCATAATTGAGTTTTCCCTAGATCACAATTTTGCCTGTATGTTTCTCTGAAAGTCAATGACAATAGTGCTTTTGGCACCAATGCTGAAGAAAAGATGTTTGCCGCCTGTTATTTTTCAGTTGTTATTGCTACTCCGGCCATTAGCTCCTCTCCCAAATCGGACACAGTGCTACATAGTCTTGCTCTCAGGTTACACCCTGGGGTCCCAGTCAGGCTCCTTCTCAAGAGCAAGAGGAGTTAGTTCTAAAGCCTCTCTCCTCTGTGTCTGCCCAGCTCTGAGAGAAGTTCAGGATGGGGTACTGGTGGGGAGCAAACAGCTATGTTATGGGCATGGAGCTCTAGTTTAGTAGGACCAAGTGAAAAGTTTGTTTCCATATGGCCTTATCCCTGAAGCTTGTCCAAATTCTAAACGCCACAGAGCCATACAGATGGCCATCTGTCTTTGGCTAGGGGGTTTTTAAATCCCTGTCTAGGTGCTCACCCTGGCTATATCTGAATTCTTTTAATAGTGAGGAACTTAGCATCTCCCAAGACAACACAGTCTTTTTCCAAATTTATTTTTTAGGGATTTAAAAGATCCAGAAAAGTACTCCCCCCTCCCCACACACATACACAACTTCCATGAATTTGGGTGTGTCAGTGCTGAAGAGAGACCATTTTAATTCATTGTGAATTCATAGAAGTCACTAAGTTTAGAACATGTGCGAGAATACGTGTTCAAATCTTCATGCAATAGGAATGAACATCTTTCTTATAGTAAAACCAGAACAATTTTCCGGGCCCTTTCCATTCTTCTGTCTTTAGAACAGTCTGAATTCTTTGTCTTTGTAATGGCCCCTCTAATATTTGAAAGGTCATGAACCTTAATCCACACCTACACTAATTCTAAACTGCATAGTGCTGATAAACTAAATGAGTGCACATGTGAGAACTTGGTAATTAATGGAGTAATAAAGATGAGACGTAAAAACACTGATAGATTTTGGGGGAAAAATTGTTATTTATTGAGGGAGGTCTCCAAATGGCAATCATATGAGGGGAAAATAATAGTAGAAAGTATAATTTATTCTTTAACAAAGAAGAATATTTTTGTATGCACCACTTATTAGGGCTTATGCACAATATTACACAAGTTCCAGACTAATGCAAAGTAAATAGCAAATCTCCAGATTTCAATCTAAGAGATCATTGAAATAGCAAAAATTTTACCTGGCAATAATAGAAAAAACAAATGATTCTTGAAAAAAAAAAAAAAAAGCCAAACATTATAGAAATCTGTAATTATTTTATCCTTCACAATATTGGGTGAGCTACAAAGTGATTCATATTGTCAAAAAATTTTTTTAGCCTAGGCCAGGTAGCTCAGTTGGTTGGAGCATCTTCCCACTATGCCAAGGTTGCAAGTTCGATCCCCGGTCAGGGCACATACATAAATCAATCAAGGAATGCATCAATAGATGGAAGAACAAATTGATGTTTCTCTCTCTCTCTCTACATTCTCTCTCTCTCAATCAATAATTTTTTTAAAATTTTTAATGCTTTTATACAAAATACTGAGAGACCTAAGCTAAATTAGATATTATATTGTCCTTAAGAAGCTGTTAAATTAGTTATGAATATTCTCATAGTATGTAGAATTAAACCATTAGTTCTCAAAGTATATCATCAGACCAGCAGCATTAGCTTACCTGGGAACTTTCTAAATGCAAATTCTCAACTACTAAATCAGAAGCTCTGGAGTGGGGCCCAGAAATCTTGTTTTCACAAGCTCTCCAGGTGGTTCTGGTGCAGGCTGAAGAATAAGACCCATAGAATTGAAGCTGGTCATCACAGGACGACTGATAAGGACACAGAATATTCTTCAAAGTATCAGGCAGCCTCATAATATTTGGAGAAAAGAGAATATTCCTTGAAAGTCATAATTATGATTCAAAACCTACATCTAAGGATATCCTTTTATGAGTAGAGAATATTTAGTTTATTTGACCATTGCTTTTCCTTTTGTAGTTTATAATATTTTTAGTGATTGTCTTTTTAATTTTTATTATTATCTTTGTGTTTGAAAGTATTACAGATGTCCCCCCCCCCTTTTTTCCCCATTGACTCCCTCTTCCCTGCTCCCAACCCCTCTCCAGGCCTTCACCACACTATTGTCTGTGTCCATGGGTTATGCATATATGCCTTTAAGTTCCTTGGTTAATCTCTTCCCAACTTCCAAACCCCTCCCCTCTGAGATCCCTCAGTCTGTTCCATGCTTCTATGCCTCTGGATCTATTTTGTTTGTCAGTTTATTTTGTTCATTAGATTCTACCTATGAGTTCATGTGATATCTATCTTTCTCTGACTGGCTTATTTTGCTAAGTATAATAATCCTCAGGTCCCTCCTTGTTGTCTCAAAGGGTAATAGATCATTTTTCACAGCTGCATAGTATTCCATTGTGTCAATGTACCACAGATTTTTATCCATTCATCTGTTGATGGGCACTTGGGCTGTTTCCAGATCTTAGCTATTGTAAATAACGCTGCTATGAAGATATACTTTTTTAGCTCTTTGAACAGAAGTTTTTCAGCCTTCAAAAATATATTTTCTAAAACTGTACTTTGCCCAAGTTATCCAACTTCTCACAACAACTACTAGCAATCTTCTACTCATTTTCTCTGCTTTAGGGGGCAAGTGGTGGTGACAGTGAGGAGGGGAAAATGAAGTAAAGGGGAGCAGGAGAGAATCTACCCACTGAATTAAGAAGTAACAAATATTATAAGAAAAACTCAGTGTAATGGCCTGAATTTAAATTTCATTCTCTTGCAGATCCACCGAACCAAAGAAGTAGAGGTCTGCCTGGTTTTCTTCCTGGAGCTTCAGACCCAGACCACGAGCTTCATGTCTCACCTTCCTATCCAGTGAACCAAGTGTGGCAGCCAGGTCACTCTCCGCCAGGCAGCCTCCCTCCTGGCCTAGAATATTTAAGCCAGGTGTTTTTATTTCTCTATCTCTATACATGTTTCCCCTTAAAAATGAATACAAACGTGGTTTCTTGCTTTTCAACCAAGGTTGAAGGACTTCAACAAATAACTTACTGAAGTGAGAATAGCATTATATACCCTAGAATTATAAATTTTTTAATTTTATGTATTTCTATTTTGAGGGAAGAAATTTATGTTTACATTTACTACCACTTTTAGTTTCTGTGTTTATTTGATAGAGAATGAGACTAAACACTTTTTATTGAGCTACTTAGCATATTCATCCTCCGGCTCACTGCTCAAGGTGTCAGCAAATTAATCTTCAAAGAATTGTCTAATATGTATGTCCAGACACCTACAGCTATTTAATTAAAGAATACTTATTGAGTACTTGCTAAAATCAAGACATATAAAAAGCATAAAACCTATCTCCTTTCACCCAAACATTCTGTAACCTAATTGGCAAGACAAAAAGTACCAGGCTGTGCACCAAAGCCATATAAGAGCACGACTATAATGTGTGCAGGTGCACAGAAGAGAAAAAAGGTTGTTATGCTCGATGAGAGGCTTCTGCAATGGGCTGAGAGTTCAGTGTCTTCAACTGAATCTCAGAAGGTGGGTGAAAATCCAAGGGAAAGCAAACACCAAGTTGATAATATTGTTTTTGACATTGTTGCATCTCCAGGCCAATTTGCGTGAAAAATCATATTATTAACAGATATAGTCATTAGTCATCATTGGAGGGTAAGCCATGATTCTAGCCTTATGATAATTCAGTCAAGAAATGTCATCATCTGAATTATGTGACACATGAATAGCAATTATATTTTTTATACATTATTGTTGCTTTGGTGTTTTATTCTACAAAAGATTAGAAATACACTCACACTAATATTGAGATGTCAGCACATCTGCTGCAATTTTCAGCTTGTTTGGCATTCTTTCAAACTATAAAGTCTATCTCCTTTATCAAAATCAAATCTCCGTGTTAATTCCCTTAAGGTACAAGAGATTTCTGTTATGCCTGATAGGGTTTAAGCTGCATGCAGCATATGTTCCTGGGAAAATGTTTATAATTGCAGATGCTTTCTCCAGAAACCCACTGGCAGACAAATGTACTTTAGAGACTGGGGAGCTCAGGGAGATATGTAAAAGAGCTGGGAAAGCTAACCAACCATCTTCCATCTGCAGAAAGGATCAGCTGTAATAGCTGACTAGAGTTGATTAACTGCTGCAAGCTGTTTGGGAACGTTGTCAGACAAGGTTTTGCCAAGGATAAGAGTGATAGACCAGTGCCAGAGGGCTGAGGTTTGATGATCACATATGGTCATCACATATTCTTCTTCCATCCATGAATGATGACACACCCAGAGCCAGATGCTTGACATGAATACATTTTTTTTTTCACATTCAATAAATAGAGATATACACTCACTGGCTTCAGTTCTAAAACAAAGTCAGTTTTCCAAGAATATACCTTTGGCAATATTTTACAGAAAACAAAAATATACCACAAATTGGTGAATATTTACTTCAAAGGTAAAGATAGTTTATTCACTTTTTCCTAAAAGGATACATATTTGTTTTAAAGCAGTGTACATATAATGGGATGAATGACCACTTTAAAAGCTTTATACCACAAGTCTGTAAGAGACATATATAGAATAAATTTTTATGCATTAACTTTTACCTAAAAATCATAAGAATTAAGTAAAATTATGAACTTTTGGAAATAGTATATTCTTCAATAAATAAGCAGAAAAATAAACAAAAATATACCAAATTCTCTAAATTAAAAAAATCCAAGTAAATTTTATAAAAATAATCTACTCTCTTTTATTCAAGTCCACACAATCACTATTGAACAACTTTTTTTCATTTACAATTTGTAAATAGATTCCCAGGTATGTCTATAAACATATTTACATATTATCTATGTATGTGTATATATGCACATATGTGTATATGTTTATGTTTTCCATGTAAGTTAAACCTAAGAATAAAACTAATAGCTTCTCCTTCCAGGTAAGATTAGCATGTTCATAATAGTCAAAGACATTTTATTCTACAAGTGTCAAAGGTTAATTATTATAACTTAGTTACCTATAGGTAAGAGCAGTGAGTTATAGTCTACAAAAAATATGTAAAGACTCAGTTTATTTTGAAGTACAGTTGACCCTTGAACAACATGTAGGTTATGGACACTGACCCCCTGCATAGTCAAAAATCCACGTGTAATTTTGACTTTCCCAAAACTTAGCCTACTATTGACTTACTGATAGCATAGTCAATTAACACAAGTTTGTATGTTGTATGTACTATAAACTGCATTTTTACAATAAACTAAGCTAGAAAAAAAGAAATGTTATTAAGAAAATCATAAGTAAGAGAAAATACATTAACTATTTATTTTAAAAATCTACATAAATGGACCCATGCAATTCAAACCTGGGTTGTTCAAGAGTCAACTGTACATATATTAAATGCAATGACTGAGATCTGGAAACCTAATAAATTATGGAGAAGAATTTATTATTAGCTATATATCCAAGGCTGTCATTAGATACCCATTCTATTACTTTCATACATCAGGAGTGCTTTCCTTGCCCTAACACCTGAATATATGATTCAATGAAGTTTAAAGTTTAAACTTTACAACAATTCCTAGTTCATCGATTAATAGCAATGGATAGAAAGGGCTCATTTGGACTGTGGTTGATAAGTGGTCTAGGACTAAAAGCAAACTACAAGACCAACCAAAAATGAAACCCTCAAATGCAGGAGGTTTTCTCACAGAGATAGGTCAAATCAAATCAAATGTTATCGCAGAAGATGGGGTGAATATAGGAGTAGAGAAAATATGGAAGAAAGGTATTCAGAAGTCCCACGGTGCACTTAAGAACTGTTTTCCCAGTTTCTAAGGTTAGCCTAGTGATGCCAGTACAGCAGGGTGGAAAGCATATCAAAATTGGCTACGGGACAACCCGGGTTCAAGCCCCAGCCTCACCATCTACAAACAGCAATTCTTGGGCAAACTACTTAATCTGTCTGGGTTTGTTTCCTCACATGTAAAACATAAGGATATTTATCTCTGACTTCTTGTGAGAATTAAATCAGACACTATGTCAAAATATTTAGCACAGTGACTACCTCCGAGTAGTCATTAAATAAACAACTGCTATTATTAGATGTCACAGAGGTACCATTTCCCCTTCCATTGTGGAGTGGATCTTAGTTGATGGCCTGTCAATCTGAAGACTAAAACTTGATCCATGCATACCACTAATATTTACAGTTCCTAATCTCAAACCTTATTCTTGCCCCCATCCCTAAGTTACTTCTAGATAGATCCACTGCTAAATCATCATGGGTGGCTTTTATGAGGCGTGTGACTTCTCTTCCTAAAGCCCTCCATTTTTCTCAAAAGAAGAGACCAGAACTAACATCAGTACACTACAAAAAACTGATTATAATTTTTTATTAAATGTATTGGGGTGACATTGGTTAATAAAATTGTATAGGTTTCAAGTGTATAATTCTATGATGTCATCTGTATATTGCATCGTGTGCCCAGCACTGAAAGTCAAACCTCCTTCCATCATCACACAGCCTCCCCCGTCTTCCTTCTGGTAACCACCATGCTATTGCCTCTATGATTTTGTTTGTTTGTTTGTTTGTTTGTCTTATTTGTTCATTTGTTGCTTTCAGTTTTATATCCCACATGTGAGTGAAATCATTTGGTTCTTAACTTTTTCTGTCTGACTTGATTCGCTTAGCATGATATTCTCAAGGTCCGTACAAGTTGTCACAAATGGCAGTTTTTCATCTTTCTTATGGATGAGTGATATGTATCACATCTTCTTCATCCAATCATCTATCAAAGGACACTTTGGCTGTTTCCATGTTTTGGCCAATGTAAATAATGCTGCAATGAACATAGTGGTGCATATATCTTTGAAAATAAATGTTTTCAAATTTTTCAATTAGATACACGGAAGAGGGGTTGCTGGGTCATATGGTAATTCTATTCTTAATTTTCTGAGGAGCATCCACACTGTTTTCCATAGTGGCTGCCCCAGTCTACATTCCCACCAGCAGAGAGTGAGGGTTCCCTTTTCTCCACAACCTCTCCAACACTTGTAATTACTTATCCTGTTCATAACAGCCACTCTAACAGGTGTGTAATGGTATCTCCTTGTAGTTTTGTGTGTGTCTTTTATTACAATATATCTTTATTGATTTCAGAGAGAGGAAGGGAGAGGGGGAGAGAGAGAAACATCAATGATGAGAGAGAGTCATTGATCGGCCACCTCCTGCACTCACCCCACCAGGGATAGAACCTGCAACCCAGGTTGCATGTGTCCTGACAGGGAATCGAACCTCAGTCTCCTGGATCATAGGTCGATGCTCAACCACTGAGCCACGCCGGCCAGGCTCCTTGTAGTTTTGATTTGTATTTTCCCTAATAGCTAATGAAGTTGAGCACCTTTTCATATATCTGTTGGTCATTTTTGTCCTCTTGGGAGTAGTATCTGTTCAGGTCCTCTTCCCATTTTTTAACTGGATTGTTTGTTTTATATTGTTGAGTTTTATGAGTTCTTTATATATTTTGGACATTAACCCCTTGTTGGAGCTGTTATTTGCAAATATCTTCTCCCATTTGTTAGATTCTAATTTTTTAATTGCCAGAATTGTTAAAGTAGGTTTTAGAATATCTTAAGTCATAAATTATTTTTTGAAAACATTTTTTTTATAAATCTTAAAAAAAGAGGTCACATGCACACTTTTATCAATAACAAGATTTGAATTAAAGAAATGATATTAGTTTAACCTCCACCTCAGTATATACAAGGAGAATGAAGGAAATCACCTCACTTCCAGCTTTCTGGGTTCTGATGCCCAATCAATGCCAAGTATTAGTAATGACTACTTCAGTTTAACAGTCACATGTGAGTTTTTTAATGTGGAAGGAGAAGAAAGTAAACTTAAAGGCAAAATAGAAAACTAAACATTAGGAAAGACAAATGATCAGCATTATATTCAGTGTTTATGTCTTTAACTACTGACTGTCAAATTTAAAATATATACAAATACAATTCATTCATTCTAAAAACATATTTTCAATATTTTCTTTAAAAAACAATTTGCATTGTCTTTTTAATATAGTCATTTCTCAATTGTATGAATACTTTATCCTTGTAAATTGATTTCATTTCTAATTACATAAGGCAAATTTAATTGTCATGCATTTAGTGACATAACTCTTATCCTGCTTAACTTGATACTTTGTCAGCATCTGCAGGATTTCTGTTTTTTTCCAGTCCAAAGGAAGGTGTGAATGAGAAAATTTTCCAGGATAAGTTTTTTCTGCAGTAACAAAGACGTATTATCACTGAGGGCAATGGGGCTGCATGATCCGGTGGGACTAAAGTTAGGCAGGGGTGGGAGGAGGGGCCAGACATTCAGATCCTTCTTGTTTTATTTCATTTCCTTATAAAAAGAAAGGGGGGTCAACTTTTATTTTATTTTATTTTAAATGTATCTTTATTGATTTCACAGAGAGGAAGGGAAAGAGAGAGAGAGAGAGAAACATCAATGATGAGAGAGAGTCATTGATCGGCTGCCTCCTGCAGGCCCCCCACTGGGGATCGAACCTGCAACCCGGGCATGTGCCCTCACCGGGAATTGAATCTCGATCTCCTGAATCTTAGGTCAATGCTCCACCACTGAGCCACACCCAGCCAGGCAAGGGGGGGGGGGTTAACTTTTAAAACATCGTAGGCATTATTATTCAGAGATTGTTTAAAAATTTTCTCAAAGTATTGTTTCCAACAGCTACTCTTTAATCCCATTACCACAGAAAGAAAACGTAGTTAACCACAGTTTCTGTTTATATTCTGGGCAATTCTGTTTTGGAACTTTTAAGGTTCTTATAATTTTTAATTTTCACTTGAATAAAAAACTTTTACTTTTTTATCATAAAATATGAGCTGTATTCAACTGTTTCGATAATAGAGAACATAAAAATCACCTAATTTCATATAGTCTAGTAAACAGGTTAAAAATATCTCCAAACGTTTTCAAAGTGTTGTGATAATATTTTTTATTTCCTTTATGTCACCCTTTCACAGTTAGACCTGATAATTATACACCAGCAGGTGGAGCTTCTCGGAAGTAAGTATATTCTCTACTTATTAAAGTTGTTGAAAATATTTTACGTTTCAGAAGTTCCTTTACATCTAAATATTTTATAAAAAATCAAGTTTAATGTTTAGAACAGCTTTAGGTCAAAAAGAGTGCTATTTTATTTTTTAAAAATAAACATTGAAAGTAAAATTATTAGGCTGACATAAATAAACCTAAAAGCATAAAACTCCCCAAGTCTTGGTGGTATTGCCGTTAGAAATCTAACATTATTTTTAATCTTAAAATAAAGAAAAGATATGTGATCATTTCTATGGTTGCTAATACATTAAGTTTTTCTTAACAGTTCCAGGAATAGAAATCAAGTTGGAGACTAAATTTCTAAAAAATTCATCAAAACAAAATTTCACTGTTTTATCATTTCATCAGCGATTCACAAAAGGGCAAATTATTTAACAATAAACAAAATTACAAGTATGACTAACTGAATGCAATTACTTGAGTATTTTTTGTCCTTAACATACTATATCATTTCTAAAACATGTCAAAATTGAAATAGCAGATAGTATGCAGCTGTAGATATACTACCAGACAGAGATTTTAGACAAAATTCTCACTATCATATGATTTGTCCCAATAATTTCATACCAATGACAGAATTTTTATATCAGTACAGCATTAGATTATTCATTACAGCATTACTTTCTTAGTTGATGAGTGGAATTGCATGTTTCCAAGCGGATCATGTATCTAGAATCAAACTTTATTAATTGCGCAGCTTGGTTCTCAGAGTTTAGTTTGACTTCCATGGAAAAGTCCTCAAGTTTTAGAGCACAGAAGTAGATTTTCATAAAGAAGTTACCATATTCTTAATAAATAGTCTGTCACCATGTTTGTTTGTTTTAATAACACTACCCCTTTTACTTATTTAAAGACATGATTCTAAGCAAGGCATTATTTTGAAGAATTTTTTTTTTGCTCCATCAGTGATACTTGGAACTGAAACGTCGAACAAATATGAGATTAAAAACAGCTTGGGACAAAGAATATACTTTGCCGTGGAGGAAAGTGTCTGCTTCAATCGCACTTTCTGTTCCACACTGCGGTCCTGCACCCTGAGGATCACCGACAACTCGGGTCGAGAGGTGATCACCGTGAGCCGGCCCTTGAGGTGTAACAGCTGCTGGTGCCCTTGCTACCTACAAGAGGTCAGTCATTGGCTCTGGCGTGCTCTTTCCCCTACCTTTCAAAAGACTGGCAACTATTTCTTTAATAAATGACCCTCATCTGGAACTATGGGGCAATTAACCTTTCGATAGTTTGGGTTAGTATGTCTCTCCTTTAGAATCAGAACAGCTTGAAGATTTGGTAAACCACTGTTTTTTTTCCTTTCTAATCAAAAATGATAGTGGCTTCCATGATGTTAATTGGTGAGGACAGCTCATGCATCATGTAAATGATGCATATCTTCCTGAATCTTGTTATTAGCATGTAATTGTAATACCATTAAGTAAACCTACCCTTTGTCCCTTTGCCTTCTCTAATGGTAGCAAAGTTCAGGAAGTGCTAAGTGACAGTGAACTCTCCTAAGGCGTTCCCTCCTGGTTAGGTAATGTTATTTAGTACAGAATGTCACATCGCATTCACTCATTTATGACGAACACTGAGGTCTGGAAAAGACAATGTTATTGTTCTAGAGGGAGTCATTCAATTGTTTTATATATAATTGATTCCATTACACTTTAATGGACCTGTAATAATGACTATTATTGACATAATGCAGGTGATCAAGAACATTTACTTGCTTTGATGTCTTCGGTATCATGACATCTCTATGAGCTAGAAAGCATAGTTTACTCTCCACGTTTTGCAGTTGAGGAAACTGGTGCTTAGAAATTGGAGATGACTTAGCTATGGTCACACATCTAGAAAATATCATAAACGGGACTTGACCCAAGTGTCCTTATTCAAGAGCAAGTGTCTCTATGAAGGGCCTGTGTGTGAGTTACTCTATTCAGCACAATGGAAATAAATTTTAATAAAAGGAGGATAGTTAGGGAAGGTTATTCTCCAACTGATTCTCCAGCTATTTATAGCTAATCACCTGGCTAACTAATAAGATAGCTAAGGTACTCATACATGGAGCCCAAGAATTTCCATTGTCTTACTGAGGATATTTAAGATCTAATATGCCCCAAAATGGTTTAGTCAGTATAATCACAGAATATATGCCCATTTGAATATTTCTGATAATTGTTTTATTTTCATAGTAGTCAGTATTAAATTAAACATAAGATGTATTTTGATACCCATTAATAATTTTAAAAATTTCACCATAATCAAACCAATAACTTTAAAAGTGATCCCAGAACAATTCTATAATTCTAAGCAGTCTTGCTGAAACCACTTTTGTCTGTGTAAAAACACTATGGACATACGCATAAGACTATGAACTTAATAAAAAGAAAAGACAAAATGAGATATAATGACGGAGGATTAGTTTGACTTAAAAGCAAACAATTTTCATTATTTGCACCCACTGCCAGCTTGTTTTACAAAGGATTTGATTTGGCTACGTTAACCTACTGAAATACAATGTGATAGAAAATAAAGAAATTGGAATTGAGGGTAATGGGTAAAATACTAAAGTAAAGTTGAAAATGCAATCATTGCTAGTCTTTAACACTTTGGAAGAAGTTAAGCAGGGATCATATTGGTGTGTATTAACTGAGCTCTGCAGAAGAGTTTGCTTTTAACAGAACACAGGGAATCTGGAAGTTGACAATCTGAAGAGAAAAAAATTATGAATATTTAATAATTGATAAGAGGATTAAAATATGTGTTTTGTGGCAACAACTGAAAGGGAGTAGATATTAGGTCCCTCATTGGGAACAGCTTCCCATGCTTCACAACTGTTGTAACTGCAACAAAAATGGCAAAAAAGCCAGTGTCCCAGAGTCAAAAGATAGTTCTAGGATAGGTTCTCTTTAGGGAAGTAAGGTTAAAGACATGGACTTTTAATGCATAGTGCCAAACATATAGCTATACAGTAAGTTTCTTAGTTTCTATAAAATATGAAAAAAAACACTGCATTGCTTCCTTAGAAGCAGATATTTAAAATTAAAATGATTTGTAGAATATGAAAATAATTTCCTAAAAATATATTGTTTAGAAGTAAATTTACATTATAATAAAATTAAAATACGATGACCTTAGAAAATCTTATTATTATCTCTCCTTACAGTTAGAAATCCAAGCTCCTCCTGGTACTATAGTTGGTTATGTTGCACAGAAGTGGGACCCCTTTCTGCCTAAATTCACAATCCAAAATGCAAACAAAGAAGATATTTTGAATATTGTTGGTCCTTGTGCAACATGTGGCTGTTTCGGCGATGTGGATTTTGAGGTATGATTGATTAAATGAAGGAATTTTTCACTTAGGTCCTGATTTTTTTGCAACATAATTCAATTCTTTTTCATGTTCAAATCATGAAATATCTCGAATAAATTTAGAAAATAATATATTTGTGAAATAATGTAATAAACCAATATTGTACATCCTTAGAGTAACTCGTAATTTCAGAAATACTAAGGAATTTTTTAAACATACTACGAAAGTTTTATTTATGTGGAAGTATGGCACCCATGATATAAAGAAAATATATATAGTTTAGAATCACTTAAATTACATCGTCTTTCCTATAGCCCTGGTGGTAACATGCCCCAGTTCAGATCTCATCTCAGAAGCACAGTCCTTTACGATTTAAAAAGTTATGTTCATAAGACTTGCCAACTTTGTTTTGTAAAATTATCTGTTCTCACATAAATGTGTTTGTGTACATCGAATGTTAAAAAACAGTAAGTAGTTGCATATTTAGTCTGTATCAATACGAATTATCTTACAGCTTCTCTTAGAAGTACATCTTAGGCAGAGGAGATGGTCTGATTTAAATTGTATATTTATTTTTTATCCATTCATTCATGTATGTCCTCCTAGGACATTCAGTTTGTAGGACTTGAGGGGACCGCAGTCACATAGAGTACAATGTAAAATTTTGCAAAATGAGATCTCCTAACTCCACCCCACTCCAAAAGCACTTGGCATGGCTGTCGTAAGAGTAAAGTGTGAAAAACATGCTGTATGCTCAAGAAGAACTTAGACATAGGAGTTTTAGTATTTGTGGTGCAGGCATGTCCTAAGTAACTTCCTCCATTTCTGTATCCTACTGACACACTGAAAGTGAAAGTTTATCCTGAATCCCTTTCAGCCCTTGGATGGGAAACAGGAAACAAATGACTAGCTGATAAGTTTCGTTCTGCAAGCCTTCTAGCTGAGGACCACTATAGATTTTTTATGTCAAATTAGTCTGAATTTCCTGTGTGGCATATTAGGACTTTTTAATGCAAAAATAGGACTTATGGTTGGTTATAAAGGAATGATCTAGTAAATGTCGAATAGAGTATAAAAATGAGATTAAGCAATGTTAATAATATTGAAATGTGTTTGTAATTATAAAATAAGCAATAAAATTTTAAAAATTGTACCTAGACGTGAAGCTAATTCCTTCTAAAACCTTTCTCCAACATGTCTTTTTTCCCTTGCTCTGTCTGTCTCTCTCTTAATGACGAACTGAGCTTGAAAGCCCTGCAGTGAAGGACTTACCTCCCTGGGGAGGCTCCGGGCCTGCTGCCGTCTAGGGGCCGGCTGGCCTGGATTCTCTGTTGCTATTACAGTCTCCATCCGAATCCAAAAATAAAAAAGAACGATGATGCATTAGAAAACTGTCAGAAAAGCAAAATTCCTGAAGAGTGAACTGGAAATTGAAACCCACACACCCTGCTCATATCAAGGGATGAAGGGCATCCCCCTGTGGCTTAGGGGGCAGTGGTCAGTCCTCTCCTGAGAGGCGCGGAGCAGGAAACCTTCTGCCTCACCCTCCACTTTAAAACCCCTCGTCTCCCTGCAGGTGAAGACCATTAATGAAAAGCTTACAATTGGGAAGATTTCGAAGTACTGGTCGGGGTTCGTCAACAACGTGTTCACCAACGCGGACAACTTCGGGATCCACGTGCCCGCGGACCTGGACGTGAAGGTCAAGGCGGCGCTGGTGGGCGCCTGCTTCCTCCTGGTGAGCCGGGGCCAGCGGGCCACGTCCAGGGGCGCTGCTGCCAGGCAGCCTTCCCTCCGCTCCTCCCGCCTCGCCTCCGCTCCTTTTCACACTCACTGAAAACAGGTGAACACAGATATCCCAACTGCGGACCCTGGATAAAGCTCAGGGCAGTTTCCTTGCTTAACAAGGGCGAGGTGCTGCTCAGAATGTGGGAGAGCCTTTCTTGCCCCCCGCTTGTACCCAGAGACAGGAGATGACACAGGGGCGCACATTCCCATCTGACCACGGCGGTGTGTCTCTGCCCTTGCTTTCCAGCTTCCTGCTTCATTAAATACATTTTCTCTTTGGTGTGGAGATTGGTGCTGGAAGAACAGACGCCTAATAACACCTGTGCCAAGAGATTGCTGTCTCCTGTTCCCGATGTCCCTCCAGCACCTCCCTCACTGCCCAGCGTTTTCAACCCTCTCACCAAAACTCATGGAATTTAAAAATACACCTACACTCTACCCCCCACACTTTGCTGTTCTTCAGGGTTTTAGGATTCTAAATCTTATGGTTATATTAATGTGTGCTGCTGGGGGGGAAAAATAGGCCCTATTCACTCAACATCTTTGAAAGACACTTGGGAAATATATAAACTAAAAATAATTCCCTAGTGACATCAATGATGATACTGAGAGAATGCATAATTATGTATACGCAAAATGGTGTGTATGTATGTGTGTATATATATATATATATATAGAGAGAGAGAGAGAGAGAATTTCTTCAGAAATTTAAGAGAAATTACTTTAACTTATTGGTTCCCTACCATTGGTAGAAGGTAGAATTTTTATATAGAGAGCACTAGGTTTTTGTAGTTTCTAAGTAGTCACCCTCGATTCCCATTTTCATCTGCAAGTATAACCAAGCGCAGCCCATCTTGCCTGCCACCCAGCATTTCTTTCACTCCCTGTCCTCCTCCGCTCACCTGGCTGAGCTTTCTAATTCGCCACTCCCTGCGCGCCTTTCCACATTGATCATTCCGCATCCACACCAGTCTCTCCAAGTGCACACAACACATGCACATCCGTACACACACACACACACACACACACCCCTTCTTCCCAAAACTTTAATTTGGCCTTACTGATAATCCCTATACTTAATGTTTATATCAAAAGAGAGACCATCTTTAATCTGCCCTACCCACCTCTTGTATGTAACAGGCTGTGGGCCAAAATTGCCCTCAGCAATTCTCCGCACCGTCAGCGATTCTCGGCACACTAGAAACTGGAGAAGCATTGATAGAGATAATGTCCCAGTCGTCTAAAAGATAACTTTTACTTCAGTGTCCGAGTGAGAAAATACTCACAGAGAATATCTAATGGCTCCCATTCCTTTCTTCCTTTTTACAATAATGTTATAAAACATTTGGACACTTTTGCCAGCATAGCTTTTAAAACAATTTCTCACCTGTAGTACCAACATAAATTATTGACTTATAAAAATAAATTGATAGGAAGAATTATGTTTTTAAATTTTAAATGCTGTCTCCACTTTATTGTAAGAGATCTTTTAAAAGAGACTTTGTTGAAAGAGACCTTTCAAAAGCTGCTGGTGTGAGGACATTCTCTGATCTAAAACAGCACAATTCATAAGTACATCCTAATGTTTGTTCTGTGGCTCAGGGCCAGCACCACAACCCATAGCTCTAATCTTTTGCCTCCAAAGTTCCCTCTGGTATAGTTTTTCGGTCCTTTCTCAGATGACTCTCTCGTTGCTGACCACACAGTCCATGAGGATATATCTAATTCCTGTTCAAAGGTCAGTGTCTACTACCACTTCGCGCACTGACCCCGAATGCTCTACAATCTAATTCTACAGTCTGGATCACCCAAATTTTGACTGATCAGACCATGCTGATTCAGATAAGGTTTTCAAGTTACTTTGGCTCTGAAAATTAAACATACAAGCATCATGAAACTTATAAATTCCTTTTTATTTTTCTCCCACTGACAAATCACATCTTTCTGGAGCACCACTGGGAAAGATAATTGCTTTCTGGGATCAAAGATTACATGGGAGACTTTTGGTCTTAAATTGTTGCCTTTTGTAAATTCACTCATACTCAGTTTACTTATTTGTAGGATTTTATGTTCTTTGAACACTCACTGGCTGGATTATAACAAGCAAGAGGACAAAAACAATAAAATATGCACAACCTATTTCAGTAAGTAAAAGACACATTTAAATGATCTCTTTCCCTTGAAGATGTTGACATTTGACCCTAATTTTTTTTCATTTTCTTTTAGAAACCCTTGGGCTTGGATTTCATTTCTGAATGGTTTGAGTATTTACTCATTTGTAACACAATGTTAATTATTATGTTTAATAAAGCATAGTGTAATGAAGCAGTTATTTGGTTGTGAATGCATGATAGCTGAAAACAAGATCACTGGCCCTAGCAAAGGGTTGCTTTGAGAGATTACCATTCTTTTTATTCTTTTGAAGTTGTTGCATGGGTAAGCATGAAAGATGAGAGCGAGCTAAGGCTTGCAGCATCGCTGATGAAAATTCAATGTTTAGAGAGCACTTTGAAGTTTTTCTGGTACCAAAGCTGGTTACTAATCAAAAGAACCGGATTTCTAAAATACTTTTTCATAAGTAGTCTTTTTTTTTTTTTCACTTTATTTGTTAATCTTCTTATTGTAGTAAGACATTTTTACTTTATATTGGAAAAGCTAAAAGTTAGTTAAATAATATGCTTAAAGATGAGAAGGAAGATAGATGAAATCAATTTGTTCTAGTGGCAAAGGGCACACTTACATTCCATAAGGAAGCTAATATTCACAAACCAAAGCATGCTTCAAAAACATGCCCATGATAGATTTAAATAAGCATATCAATAGACTTCTAGGTCAGTAAAAGCCACACCAGAGGAAAATTTCTTTTGTATGAATGATCATAGTTCTCTCCTTTTGAGAATGAGGAGACAGACTTGTTTTTAAAAAGGACCAGGTCGCCATTTAGGCTCTACTTTAGAATTACACAAATACCAACCAAATTTCCATCCACGTATACAGGTGTTTAGAGAATCTTCAGGCATTCCCCGTCTAGTAAAGGGAACATGTTCCAAGCACCTGTTACTAAGTTAGTTGTTTGGAATTAGGAATCTGACTTCCAGAAATAACACTATATATGGTAGTTAATTTTCTCAAGTAGTCCCTAAATATCTGTTTAACCTTGGGTTCTGGATTAAGGGCTTTAGCTTGTGTAAGATGGAAAGGGAAGGTCTCTCCACCGTTTTCTGGTTGCTTCCTTTAGTAACCTCTATCCTTACTTTACCCCTTTTCTGAGAGACCCTCCCTTGGCATGCAGAAGCTCTACACTGCCTCAGTCAGTGATGAAAGACCTCCTACTGATGGGGCAGGACAGAGAAGCACTAACCACCAAAACACAATCATGCTTCAGAATCACACACAGCCTTTCTCCTCTCCATCCCATCCGTTCAGTCGGTGTAACTGGTACCACGTGCACGTGGGAGCAACGTCGTCAGGAGGGATCTCAAGTCCTGTAAATACCAGGCACTACCTGTGTGCCAGCCATGCCTCTCTCCACTTACCATGCGGCCTTTCTGACCCTCCTCCCTCCTCTTTGCTACCTGGCAGAGCTGTGTTGATGGTTAAGAAGAGCACAATATTTCCTCCATTTCCGCTTATCTATTTTAACCATAGTGTGTGTGATTGTGTCATTTACAACAAGCTAAAGGAGATGGCATTTTTTAAAGCTGATGCATATTAACTAATAAAATGGAGGAAAATAGCTAACAATTCCCGGTGGAGTAACAGAATGATATGAAAACAAAGGAAAATCAGGCGGTATGTGGAAGACCTGCCCAGAACCCAAATGTTCTTCCTAAGGATGATCCTGTTTTCATGTCGTCTTCTTGTCTTTTACTTTTGAGTTCTAAAAGGAAAGATTTTTGTAGCTGTCCTAACAGCATCGAATGACACTTTCACAGTGAGGTAAGAATAGGAGAAAGAAAACATTTATAAATGCTGCATTTTAGCGTGACAATCTCTCTTTGATTTTTAAAATCTATCTAAATGAGCCCTAAAACTAGTGAAAAGAGCTACATAACACCTAAGATAAAGAGATTCCTTAAAGGCAAAAATCCTTCTTAGAATATAGCACACATTTTAAAATTGGCTATTTTAAGTAAAAAACCTGCTGTAGTACTTTGCTCCTGAACTGGCACTCTGACAAATCCATTCTCCCCTTCCTCAGTAAAGGTGAAATCGACCTTTACATGTCTTCTATGGTCTACTTTTTCCTTTCCCACCAAACATGTCTCCATGAGAGATTAGAGAGACTTACACTTTTCAGTGAAATTTTCAATGAAAAGAGTGCAGCTAGAATGAGAGGGCTCCTCTGCATCACTGCCTTCCCTTGGCCCCACCACACTCTCCGAACACAGGGCCCGACTGTTCACTCTGATATGTACTGAGAAGACTTGATGCAATTCAAATGCCTCCCATTTATTCATTCCTTTAGTCATTGTTATATTAATTTAATATTTATTGAGTCCCCTCTATATGCCAAAATATAGTTCCCCCTCTCATGGAGCTTACAGTTTAAAGAGATAGCTATTAATTCAATAATGATACAAACAATAATTAGATTTCAAACATGAGAAGTGTTTAAAGGAAATAGACAAAGGGCTAAGCAAGGCAGGGAATGTGACTTGGTCAGGGAATGAGGATTGATGGGAATTTAATATATAAAGACTAAGGGGAAGCAGAAGGAAGAGTGTTTCAGACTGAGGTACTAACATTTGCAAACGTTCTCTGCTGGGGGAAGAGGAGACATGACACTCTCACCTGACCTGAAGGCGGCCAGTGATTAAAGCTCAGACAGTGAGGACAAATGGGGTACAAGATGAGGGGGGATGGGGCTTGTAGGCCGCGTTCAAGATTCTAGACTCTGTCCTATTGGCAAAGCATCTGAGAACAGTTTATAAGAAGAGAGCTGACATTAAAGATAAGAGTGGTGAGGATGCTCATGGGCCAATTGGTAGGTTACTAAAGTAGTTTAGGTGACAACTAATGGTAGTTTGGATTAATCTGTCATCACTCAGGTAAAGGGAGAGAACTGAGAAAATTCAAGATATATTTACGAGGTAAAATTACCATTACTTGATGCTGAGTAGAAAATGGAGATTTGAAGGGAAAAGGGGATTTCTGGCCTATCCCATTTTCTGACAGAGGGAACATTAAAATAGGATCTGGTTCAGGAGTAAACAGGGTAAGGAGCATGGGTTCAGTTTTAAACATATTGGATTTGTAATGCCTTTAACTCTTCTAAATAGGCGAGTGGGCATCTTTGCATCTAGTGTATATCTGAAGAGAGAGTTGCATTTATGAGAACTATATGATCCCACAGATATCGGAATATCTCAATAATCACTGGTTTACTTCAAGGATGTCCCTAGCAAATATTTTAAAACATGCATGGACAATGAATTCATTCATTCATTCATTCATTCATAACTAACATTTTTTGAAATTACTTCTATGCACTGTTTCAGGCAGTGGGGATATTATACTTAGTGGCAATTATTCCTAATCTAAAGATGCATTCGATAAATATTTGTGAAGTTCATATTCTGTGCTAGGAGCCTATGTCAAGCATTAAGTTTTAGCATTGAACAAAGCTGCAGGTGTTGACATTAGCTGTGGAAACGTGATTAGCAGAGCAAGAGTGTTGCAGACTGGCTGATCAGAAATCTGCTCGCTGGACTGAAGCTGTTGCTGATTTGTTGATTTTCTTTTTTTCTTTTATTATTTTATTTTTTTCATCACCATTTATCCCACCTATACCTTTCTCCACCTCCACCCACCCCCTCACCTCTGCAGTCACCACACTCTTGTCCATGTCCATTAGGTTTTCTCTTTTTTTTCCTTTTTTTGCTCAATCCCTCCATGCCCCACTACCCCTACCACCCACCCAACAACGCTGTCTNAGGTTTTCTCTTTTTTTTCCTTTTTTTGCTCAATCCCTCCATGCCCCACTACCCCTACCACCCACCCAACAAAGCTGTCTACCTGCTCTCTGTCTATGAGTCTGTCTCTATTTTGCTTGTTAGTTCAGTTTTTTCATTAAATTCTACATAGCAGTGAAATCATATGGTAATTGACTTTCTCTAGCTGGCTTATTTCCCTTAGCTTAATGTTCTCCAGGTCCATCCTCGCTGTCGCTACAGCAGAGCAGTATTCCATTGAGTAAATGTCCCACAGCTTTTTATCCACTCATCTATTGATGGGCGCCTGGGCTGCTTCCAAATCTTGGCTATTGTAATAACGCTGCAATGAACACAGGGGTACATATATTCTTTTGAATTGGTGTTTCAGATTTCTTTGGATAAATTCCCAGAAGTATAATTGATGGATAATTTTAAATTTTTTAAGGTAACTCCATGTTTTCCACAGTGACTGCACCAATCTGCATTCCCACCAACAGTGTATGCAAGTTCCATTTTCCCCACACCCTCGCCAGCACATGTCATTTGTTGATTTGTTGATGGTAGCACTCTGACAGGTGTGAGGTGATATCTCATTGTGGTTTTAATTTGCATTTCTCTGATGATTAGTGACATTGACCACCTTTTCATATGTCCATTGGCCATTTATAAATCCCCTTTGGAAAAGTGTCTATTCAGGTTCTTTGCCCACTTTTTTATGTTAATTCTTCCTACCCATAAACATGGTATATGCTTCCACTTATTTGTATCTTTTTCAGTTTCTTTCTTCAGTGTCTTATAATTTTCTGAGTATAGGTCTTTTACACCCTTGGTTAAATTTATTGCTAGGTATTTTATTATTTTTGAAGCTATTGTGAATGGGATTGTTTTATTAGTTTCCCTTTCTGATAGTGTATTATTAATGTATAAAAATGCAGCTAATTATGGATTTTTATTCTGTATCCTGCTCCTTTACTCAATTCATTTATCAGTTCTAGTAGGCTTTTTATGAAATATGTAAGGTTTTCTATACACAGTATCATGTCATCTGCAAATAATGAGAGCTTTATTTCTTCTTTTCCAATTGGATGATTTTTCAAAAAATGTATCTTTATTGATTTCAGAGAGAGGAAGGGAGAGGGAGAGAGAGATAAAAACATCAATGATGAGAGAGTCATTGATTGGCTGTCTCCTGCACTCCCCCTACTAGGGATCAAGCCCACAACCCAGGCATGTTCCCGGACTGGGAATTGAACCTCAGTCTCCTGGATGAAAGCTCACTGGCCAGACCAATTTGAATGATTTTCTTTTTCTTCTTGTCTGATTGCTGTGGCTAGGTCTTCCAGCACTATGTTGAATAAGAGTGGTGAAAGTGGACATCCCTGTCTTGT